ATTTGACCTTGACCTCATTTTCATGGTTCAGTGGTCAAAGTTAAGTTTTTGAGTTTTGGTCTTTTTTTCTAATACTATGTGCAATAGTTCAACTATATTTGGTATGTGTGTACCTTGCAAGGTCCTCATGCCCGTCAGACAGTTTTCACTTGACCTCGACCTCATTTAATGGATCAGTGAACAAGGTTAAGTTTTGGTGGTCAAGTCCATATCTCAGATACTATAAGCAATAGGTCTAGTATATTCGGTGTATGGAAGGACTGTAAGGTGTACATGTCCAACTGGCAGGTGTCATCTGACCTTGACCTCATTTTCATGGTTCAGTGGTTATAGTTAAGTTTTTGTGTTTTGGTCTGTTTTTCTTATACTGTATGCCATAGGTCTACTATATTTGGTGTATGGAATGATTGTAAGGTGTACATGTCTAGCGGGCAGGTGTCATCTGACCTTGACCTCATTTTCATGGTTCAGTGGTCAAAGTTAAGTTTTTGAGTTTTGGTCTTTTTTTCTAATACTATGTGCAATAGTTCAACTATATTTGGTATGTGCGTACCTTGCAAGGTCCTCATGCCCGTCAGACAGTTTTCACTTGACCTCGACCTCATTTCATGGATCAATGAACAAGGTTAAGTTTTGGTGGTCAAGTCCATATCTCAGATACTATAAGCAATAGGTCTAGTATATTTGGTGTATGGAAGGACTGTAAGGTGTACATGTCCAACTGGCAGGTGTTATCTGACCTTGACCTCATTTTCATGGTTCAGTGGTTATAGTTAAGTTTTTGTGTTTTGGTCTGTTTTTCTTATACTATATGCAATAGTTCAACTATATTTGGTGTATGGAAATATTTTATGATCTATTTGGCAGTCACGCAGGTTTTATTTGACCTTGACCTCATTTTCAAGGTTCATTGCTCAGTGTTAAGTTTTTGTGTTTTGGTCTGTTTTTCTTAAACTATAAGCAATAGGTCAACTCTATTTGTTGTATGGAAGAATTGTTAGCTGTACATGCCTGCCTAGCATGGTTCATCTGACCTTGACCTCATTTTCATGGTTCATTGGTCAATGTTTAGTTTACTTGGTTAATGTTAAGTTTATGTGACAGTTGTAATAAAGCTTTATATTTAGGACTATCAACATAATATCAATGATTAGTAAAGAAGGTGAGACATTTCAGCGTGTGCACTCTTGTTTTTCTAGGAGTTACGCCCCTTTGAACTTATTTGCTTCAATGTACTACTGCAACAGTTTGTCATCGCAACTCCTCTGATACCACACAACAGAATTTTTTGAAACCTTTTTAGATAATAAGGACATACTATGTAGATGCGCATATCGACAGGATATTATGGTTCAATTTTTTTTCTAGGAGTTACGCCCCTTTGAACTTATTTGCTTCAATGTACTACTGCAACAGTTTGTCATCCAAACTCCTCTGATACCACATAACAGAATTTCATGAAACCTTTTTAGATAATAAGGACATACTATGTAGATGTGCATATCGACAGGAAATTACGGTTCAATTTTTTTTCTAGGAGTTACGCCCCTTTGAACTTATTTGCTTCAATGTACTACTGCAACAGTTTGTCATCGCAACTCCTCTGATACCACACAACAGAATTTCATGAAACCTTTTTAGATAATAAGGACATACTATGTAGATGTGCATATTGACAGGAAATTATGATTCAATTTTTTTTTCTCATACAATTTTTTTTTCTTACACCTATTTTATTTCTCCAATGACAATGTGGGGGCGTGGGGTATGTGAGCGCGCTCACTAAGGTTCTTTAATTTTTCTTTTCTTTGGTAAATTGTTTGAAGAATTTTGTGGTAGGTTTGTTTGTTATTCTGTATAAACTAATTTTCTGAATGCTATATATTTTTTTTTTTTGATGAAGTGAACTCCTTTAAAAACTAAGCTTATATTGTCTATTAATATACATATATTTAGATTTCTGATTTTGGGCCCAGTTTTCAAGTTGGTCCAAATCTAAAATTAAACTGTGTTTGATTTCAACATAAATTGAATATATATAGAGTTCTTTGAAATGCTGAATCTAAACCTGGATTTATTTTCATTATTAATTAGATAATACCACATTGAGGTCCAAAGGGTCCTAAATTAAACTTTTTAATCTCATCAAAAATTGAATTCTTGGGGTTCTTTGATATGCTGATTCTAACAATGTTTTAGTGGTTAAATCATATCTAATTTTAGAGAACTATTTTTGTTGTTAAGTCATCACTGGTTCATGGAAATAAGTTTGAGTTATTTCCCTTTGAACAGAAATGGTATATGGATTTTAGTCTATCAATGATTGTCTCTGTTCAATTGATTTTAGTCATTAGTTGTCAAAAATTTCTTTATAACTATTTTTTTTAAGTCATGTGTGTTATGAATGTAGATGTCACAGTCGTTGTGTGGTATTTTATTTTTGTTGTGTGTGTTAATGTTTAATTTTTACTTGATCCTGTTTGGGGGTTCAGATTTGCAAATATCATTTTCATTATTAATAAGATAATAATCTATTTTAAATATTCAATCACAATCCAAATTCAGAGCTGTTTTAAGCTTAAATGTTGTGTCCATACTTGCTCAACTATTCAGGGTTCGACCTCTGCAGGAAAATCCGGTTTGCTGTCACTCTGACAGCCTCTTGTTGCCTATTACCTTGAAAATTATAATAGATAGAATAAACCTTTAAATGCAAAAATGATCAGCAAGTCAATTTCTACTTTAAAGTCAAATTTTGCTGATATAGTGTTACAACCAGAAATCACCTTTAAATTGTAGCCAACAACAGACACAAATCAATAATAAAATTTAATAAGATTTATTATACACAAGTTTACAAGAAGTATTACACAAATAGAAATGTCAACTCAACTGTCAAAATATAAGTCCGATCCTTTGTCTTTTCTTTATCTGGAATCCTTCTCATAACTGTACGGAAATCCAAACAGAATATTACGTCCAGTAAATCACAATCTAGTATGATGTTGTTCGTAAATAAAAGTGTCAATTCAACAACTCCAGAGAACTTCTGAGAATCCAATGTCTGTGTCTGTAATTTCGGTATCTGTATATATAGTTGTCACTGAAACTTCTAGATCACTGTAGAAAGGAAACTCCTAGAAAACTATTGAACGGAAACTTCTAGAACAATTTAGAAGTTTAAATTATGCATCTTTTATTATGATCATTCTGGAATCGTTATGTACCGTAAGTCAAATAGAAAGTTCTATAATCATTCCATCAGTCTCTATGATTGTTACAGTGGTTTCTAAACTGCACAGTTACAACATTATTTGGTAAAAAACTATAAATATTATGTAAACATATTATAAGGCCACACAAAACAAATTAGGCCAACTAAATAAACAGGATAGTTACAATATCATAACAATAGTTAGTAGACTGTCACTCTTTATAGGAGAGATTGCCCTTAAATGAGGATTTTTTTTACCCTCTTTTGTGTTTTGAGCAAAAAACTAAAGAAGATAGAGAGAAACTAAACAGACTAAATGATCAGCAATACAAGATCAACAAAACAGAGATTTTTGTCATGAATTCTATTCTCGTCTACAATTTTGGAGAGTGTCCTTTTTATATGCCCGTTTACGTGACATATTATGGTATACCTTTCTCCGTCCATCTGTTGGACAATAACTCAAAAACGCTTCGACCAATTCGCATGACACTTTGGTGAATTGTTTATATCTATTGACGTGAGCTTCCTTTCGATTTTTATGAATTTTAGATTTTACGTTTCCGAGTTATGGGGTTTTATTCATAAAAAAGGGTTGATTTTCCAGTTTTGGGACAAAAATCAAAAGTGCTTTCAGCAGTTTTCATGAAACTTTGGTGACTGGTTTATATCTATTAAAATAACCTCCCTTTAGTTTTTTATAAATTTCTGATATGACATTGAGGAATTATGGAACTTTATTCTTGAAAAAGCGACGGGGGTATCATGCGCTTATGGCCCAGCTCTTTATTTGAATATGCACATAGACCATGGTGAGCGACACAGGCTCTAAAGAGCCTGTGGTTTATCTCACCTGACCCAAAGAAGTGAGCTATGCTCATCGCTTGCCGTCTGTACTCCACTGTTGTCAATTGTCCATTAACTTTTTTAAAAATCTTCTCCTCTGAAACTTCTGAGCCAATTGGAACCAATCTTTATCAGGTTATTTCTGCATTATTTTAAAAACTATAATGGAATGAGAGAAACATTGAATAGCAAAAATTATCAGCAAGACAAGATCTTCAAATAAGTCAATATTGCTGAAATTGTTAATCCTTTTTTTAAATAACTATTGCCCTTAAATGACAGTTTTTACCAATAGTTTTTGCCTATTATCTTGAAAACTATAATACATAGATAGAAATTTAAGTAGCAAAATGATCAGGTCAACAGATTTTACAAAGAGGTAACTGTTTTTCTGGATCGATGTTTACTCAGGTATTAAATTACTGTTCAATATTACAAAACATACATACATTTTCCAAAGGAGAAATACAGTATAAACAACAGACAATCAAATATAAGTACAGCATTAAAACAAATTATAAATTAACCACTAATATATTTACAATCCAAGAATCAAGAATTGATACACTAATCAAACATAGAACAAATGACAGTTAAACATATTCAGGACTATTTCTGAGGACTTTGTATAAAAACAGAGTTAAGTAGAACTGTTGTGAGAATCAGGTAAATTATTGGCACTTTTAGCTTACTTTAATGCCATTGAAAATATCTATAAAACTTGCTCTATATCTTGCAAAATTCAAATGTAACCATATGTTCCTATCTGGTACTGACCAAATATTCAGTTATTCAACGGGTAAATGCTTGTTATCCCTTGTAAGGTTGAACTATAGAAAATATTTAGAAAAACCACTGAGAATTAATTTTTGTTTTTTATATCAGTGTGGGGATTCTCTTTTTTATCATTATATTCTGTCTACATGCAATTTAATTTCAGGATAAGAATTTGGATTGGTTTCCAAGAATGAGAGCAATGTCTTTACAGGCTGAAGATAGTGAAGGAGAGCAGAATGAAATCCGTAATCTCCATGCCACACTGGATAGTACCAACAGACTTGTTAAAAATCTCACTAAACAGCTTACAGAACTTAGGGAACAGGTAAACTAGAAAACTGGAAACTTTAAATTGGAATTTTGTTTTTAAGAGTCCTTTGTAATCATGATGAGATATAGTTGTCACTTTCTGTCTTTCTGTGGAATCATATCAAAAACTTCTTTTGCATAATGCAAGTGTTGTTGAACTCTAAATTTAGTCTTCAGGTTGCTTATCTCAAGGATATATACACTATAATTAAAGAAATTTCTTGGTATTCCTAAACGGAAGATTTTATACACACAGAAGAAGAAGTATACTTAACAACAAAATTATTTTCATTTACCTGTGTATAATATGACACAGGTTTCTTCAAAAGTGATGATTTTCTAAAAATTGTTTGAAATTTCACAGTGATATCATACTTTAACTCTGTTTAAACCTGTTTATTTACTTTTGACTTTAATTATTTATCCCTTTTAATTTTTTATTAACTGTGTATTTGCATTCAGGTGTCACAGGTCAAATTTATTCGTTCATAGTATGTTAATTTACGTTTTTTGATTGAGTTAAGCCTTCCAATTGATATTTTATAGTGTTTTTTTTTATGTTGTGATGTTATACTATTGTTTCAGAAAAGGGAGAAGGTTTGGTACCATTAAAACGTTTAATCCCGCTGCAAATGTTTGCACCTGTCCTAAGTCAGGAATCTGATTACAGTAGTTGTCGTCTGTTTATGTAGTTCATACGTGTTTCTCGTTTCTCGTTTTTATATAGATTAGACCGTTGGTTTTTCTGTTTGAATGGTTTTACACTAGTAATTTTTTGGGGCCCTTTATAGCTTGCTGTTCGGTGTGAGCCAATGCTCTGTGTTGAAGGCCGTACCTTGACCTATTATGGTTTACTTTTATGAATTGTAACTTGGATGGAGAGTTGTCTCATTGGCACTCTTACCACATCTTCCTATATCTATATCTCTTTTTATTAGTCCCCTGCTGGGGAATCCAATTTGAACTTTAGCTTTTGCATTTAGTCTGTAAATAAATTTATCCAGTAAGTTTAAACTTTCCAAATTTTTTTCTGTAATGTTTCAATCTTTTGATTAGATATTTGGCATAAGAAGATACAGATACAGTTTGAATTTTGTTCCGGTTGAGTAATTTTGGTAGAATTTGGCTCTTGGACATTGAAAATTGCTTGTTAACATCAATTTTTCTCTTTTGCTTGAATCTGTTGATTAGATATTTGGAAAATAGTCCTATCGTAAGAAGTGACAGATCAAATACATGAGCTTTGTTTCTGTTGTGCAATATTTCAGGAGTTGTGGTCCTTTAATATAGAAAATATCCCTAAAAATATCAGTTTTCCACACTTTTTCCAGTAGTGCCTGAATAATTTAATGTGTATTATATATTTACATATTCTGAAGCAGATTTTTTCTTTGAGTTAATAAAAAAAGTCAATAGGGTTTCATAAGAAAAGCAGAACCTGTTATGTACTGGAATCATTTATATTTCTGTCATTTTTTTTTTTATATTTTTATTGATTTTGTATTTACATTTGACTTTTTTTTTAAAGATACAACTGTTTTATAGATTGCTGTTTAATACATCTCATTTTATATATTTTTTATATTTCAAGTAACAGTCAAATTGATTTATGTTTCAGATGACAGAACAAAGAAAGCAAAAACAAAGAAAAGGTTTCCTTCATTCAGCAACAGTTCCAAATGTCATGACTATGTGATGTTAAATCATTAAATGGAAAAACAATAGCATTATGCAGCAATAGAGGTCTGAACATATTGAAATAACAAATATTTGTTTGTCCGTTTTAGATTTATTTCTCATCAAAATTTAGCAATATCATGTTTATGTCATATATGATTGTAAAGTTAAAACATATATTGTCATTACAAAAAGTTGTTTAAATGAACTTTAATTTTTCATTCAGAAAACTTTTGGTTTTAGATGAAGTATTATTGTATAGCAACAGCATATTTTATGTTGCCAATAAACAAACGTGCAATAATATGTCATATTGCATTAGTGCTAAAAATCTTCAAATTAGTGATGTCATCAGTATCAAAAATTTGTTATAAACAGTTTTTCCAAGCTTTGCTATACAATAAAAGGGTTATTGCATGAATATTAGTGAATATTTTTCCTCAGAATATATATTGCTATTTCGTGCAATAAGAAAATATACTTGGGACAATGTTCACCAATATTCATGAAATAACCCTATAGTATTATTTATTGTGTATGCACAGTTGCTTTAGTAGTCTCTGGTTTTAATTAGTACAATTAAAGATATTTTACCTGTCTGTGATTGTTAAGTATGTTGTTGTTTTTGTTTAATAATGAGGAGAAACTTTAATCTTAAAAGTGTTATCTAAGAAGCATAATAGCTTCCCTGTATTCTCTAAGATCTGTCTATTAGTCCACACTTCATTACTCTTTAAAAGGTCCAGACAGGGAGGAAATTCATGTACACAAATGTTCAGTGTTGATCAGGAATGGTGTGCAAATAATGTAAACAATAGACCAGAATATAAATCATCATTTTGATGAAGATACAAAATAAAACAGTATCATTGTTATATTTAGCTATTTTAAAAGTTAATTTTTCATCAAATTTAATATTTCCTGCTATATATGCTAAAGCCAAATAATTTTTTGTCAACAAATGAGGATATTTGTATATACCAGTTTTAAATAAATCAGCCAAGACTCACAGTTCAAACACCATAAGAAGTCAGTCAGATTTAATTTTTGTTGAGCCTGCGAAATATGGAAATATTTTACGATGTACATGTCAGTCTGGCAGGTTTTATTTGGCATTGACCCCATTTTCACGGTTCATTGCTCAGTGTAAAGTTTTTGTTTTGGTCTTTTTTTCTATAACTATAAGAAATAGGTCATCTATATTTGGTGTATGGAATGATTGTAATGATATGTCTGTTTGGCAGGTATCATCTGATCTTGACCTCATTTTCATGGTTCATTGGTCAATGTTAAGTTTCATGGTTAAGTTTGTTTCTTAGATACTATAAGCAATATGTCAACTAAATTTAATGCATATATTGATTGTAAGGTGTACATGTCTTTCTGCGATGGTTCATCTGAACTTTACCTCATTTTCATGGTTCATTGGTCAGTGTTATGTTTTCCTGGTTAAGTTCAGTTCTAAGAAACTATAAACAGTAGGTCAACTATATTTGGTGTAAGGTGTACATGTATTTTTGGTTTTGGTTTATCTGACCTTGATGGCTTGACCTCATTTTCTTGGATCATGATAAGTTTATGTGATACTTGTAGTAAAGCTTTATATTTAGGACTATCAATATAAAATCAATGTTCAGTAAAGCAGGCGAGACATTTCAGCGTGTGCACTCTTGTTCAATCTTAAGATGTATTTCTAATTGTTGTTTCCCACCTTTTGCTGTTATTTGTACTACCATGTTAAATCATATTTGTAATATTAATTGTGAATAGAAAAGTTATTGTTTTATATTAGGAGTTAATATATATATCATGGTGCTTTAATCACTATTTTTATAATACATATTTATACATGCAAATATATTTGTTCAAACAATTTTGACAATAAAGAACAATAACAAGGATATAAATTTAGAAGTCTTATTGACTTATGATACATATACATGTATATTGATAATTGTAATATTTTATTACCCATTAAAACTCTATATATAAAAATAATAATATAATATAAGCAAAAACATTATGTTGATCTATTATTAAATATGACTAAATAAATAAAATATTTCTTGTATTTAATTCAAAAGTTTCATTAAGCTAAGTTAAAAATGTAATGTACTTGTTAAACAAGATTTCAATAATACGATGAAACCTGTTTAAATGGAACTCCAGCAAGAGGACATGCAATGGAGATTTTTGAGTTATTTGATATTTGTTAACATAATTAATGTCTAATCAAAATGAAATCCTCAGTTTTTATCCCGTCTATGATAGAAGTTGGCCATTATGTTTCTGGTCTGTGAGTACATTCATATGTTCTTCCATCCAACTGTCCATATCAGGTTAAAGTTTTGGTTAAGGATAGTTTGTGGTCACATCAACTTGAAACTTAGCACTGTTTAATATCTATGACTCAGATTTCATAGTTCACTAAACATTGAAATGTGATATGTTCATAACTACTATGTGGGTGTTTAATGTCCTGGACTACGCATGAGGGTCCCGCACAGCCGGATAAGCATTCATCAATAAGTGAACTGTTTAATATATATGCCAAATGTTGAATTTCATGGTTCACTGAACTTGTAAATGTGATAGTACAAGCGGGAAATGGTGTCCTATGGACACATGTTCTTGTTTTAGATAGGCTTCACTGTATTAAATCATCAATTTAAAAAAATTTAAAAAGAGAACTTCCACTTCAACTATTTGTTGGTACTTTTTGCCATTGTTTATTTGTTAGAAATTTTTATACTGTTTGATTTGTAAGGTGCTAACATCTACCTTTATCAAGGAATTGGGCCAAAACATTTTGTTAATACACAATTTGATGACCTTGCTCATAATAGACTGAAAGTTTGCCCAATGATACAGCATTATGGTGTTATTTAATGATTTTGCCAAAAAATCCTTTTCATCAGAAAGTAGAATTCAGTTGCTTTAATTGCAATAGGTTTGTTATGCTTGGAACTTCCAATGTTCTCTTTTCCAATATGTATGTAGGGCTATAAATTTCCTTTTTTTGAGAATTATATATATATATTATATTTATAATAAAGTGATAAAATCCTTCTGTCCACTTTGAATGATTGTTAAATGATATATATGTTGATCCTTCCAGCATTTTATATGTTTGTAATGTGTATACTTGTCAATAAAGTCTGAATAGTTTATTATTTTGTATTATATCTAGAGTACATGTATAGCCTGGGTCCCGGTAAAGTGAGAAACGGAACAGAAACGAAACGGAGTGAAACGAAACAAAACAAAACACAGCGAAACGAAACGAAACACGACGAATCAAAACGAAACATGTAAATTGAGAAACGAAACACGACGAAACGAAACAAAATCTGTATTTTGAGGAACAACCTATAGAAAATCTTCCTGACATAGCCGAAGATCAATGTGGGTTTAGAGGGCCCTTTTGATTGAAATCATATAATCGTTTGCTTAAAAATCGTCAACAAAAAAACCAGTGGTGTGTTTATCTTTGTGGACAATTATATATGCCTCCCCCTTTCCTTAAACTCTGGATCTGTCTCTGGTTTATTTTTTACACAAGATCTCTAAATTTAATCCAAAGAGAACGTGTGATTAACGGTTCATTCGAACACACATTACACACTGGGATTAACTTCACTGATTGCCGCACTAGAAAGAACGCATTACATACCAGTTCTATTGTGCTTTGTATTTGTTTATGCTTTATAGTCCCACACATTATTATCGTTTATATATATTACATTGTATGTGCAATAATCTGCAATAGGTTTTTATCATTTATTGTTTATAAATGAGTTTGTGCCAAGAAAGGTATTATTATTTCATGAATGAAACACTTACATGTACGTATTCCAAGTGAAATAACCATAGCCAAAATATGTAAATGGTACGGACACTTTGCCATACATAACTTTAGGTGGTAAGATCCAAATGATCAAGTTGGATGCATTCACCCTATAGTGGCTACAACATTGTCAAGTCCGACCTGGGACGTCAAAGGGGGGATTGACCACGTTGCGACCTGACGTCTCTTTTGAAAGTACATGTGACCTTCAAAATGTTTAAACCGAGAATCAAATCAGTTTAGAACTGAATAGTTTGCTTAAAAGTGACCGAAGCAATTTTTAATCGTGACCGTGTGATCTAAAGTGGGTACTGGAGCACACTTTTCTCCTTTTATTCATACAATATTGTATGTTCGACTCGTCATGTTCTACTTTCTTTTTTAAACTTACTGTACCGAATATTGTGTTTTGTTATTCGCCATTTATCTTGACAGACGCGTGTTACTAGGTATAGTATCTACCACATTTTCAAAAGATAAGCTACGAAGTACATACGGCATCTCCATACATGCAGTTGAAGTCGATGGTACCTGTTGCAAGTAGTTGAAAAAGGTTAATATGAATTGAACTTGTAACGAGATTATGTCTTGCCTGATTTGCTACAAAATGAAAGAATGTCATCATGGTCATGGACTGCCATATTAAAAAAATCTTTGAAACTTAAAAAAAAAGGAGAAACGAATACAAACTAGAATATGTTATAGTTATTGATCAAGCAAGTCGGTATATATATCATTTAATCTGCACGGCTCGGGTGACCCTAACTAACCCGAACGAGCAGATTAAATGATATATACCGATTTGATTGGTCAATACTGTTTTAACACATGATGCCATTAATCTATGTGAACATTTTGGAAATATGCGGACGATATTCCGCAATCCACGGCTCCTAGGAAAGTTTCTTGTAGGGGAAAGAAAGGCGGAAATACGCTTTTATGTAGTTAAAATTGGATAACTTCTTCTTCGTATTTCCTTCCAATTAGGAACACCAAGTAGAAACGGAGTTGTTTTCACTTGTATTATTTAAGATTATTTTTACAGTACTATATACATCGGATAGTTTTAAAATGTAAAAATTTGTTGAACAACTTCTATTAACTTTTTTCATATTTAGGTTTTCTTCCTAAAAAATTGTTACATTATTTTGAGAATTGCGATTTAGTGATAGCTTTTTTTTATCGTTTCTGTTAAATTTATTCTTAATTTGTATATAAGTTATAGTGACGAATTAGAAATGGACGTATTGTGTAGACACCTATCTATTGTTGAAATTATACTATATGTTGCCTTCTCAGATGTCCTTAGTTTGTTCTTGTCGTTTGGTTGCTGTCTTATTGACGTAAAACCTACATTCATACAGTTTTAGTTACGTTGAGTGTACTTTTAAATCGGTGCATGAAAAATCATAACTTAACTGGTTATTGTGTATAGATTATTAAATTAATTATCTTTCTTTCCCTCAATAATGCTAGGAAGATGAACCAACGAGAGATGTACACAGGCACTTAATTGTTTCTATCCATATATATGGAACGCCAACACTGTCTTATTATGACATTTCTCATTATATGATGTTCATTTGCCATTATATGATGTCATTTTACCCTTATATGATGTGCAAATGACATTATATGATGTGCACTTATCATTATATGATGTACACTTGTCATTATGTGATGTGAACTTGTCCTTATATGATGTACACTTGTCATTATATGATGTGAAGTTGTCCTTATATGCTGTCCAAACACATTTATATGAGGTGCAAACATCTTTATATCATGTCCACAATTCATTAAATGATGTGCTTTTTCCATTATGTTATGTAGTTGAGTCCTTATATTATGTGATGCTTTCCTTATACGATGTAGAAACGGCATTATGTGATGTACAATCACCTTTAAACGATATGCAATCACCTTTATATGATGACAATTTGACATTATCTGATATAATCGATTGGTCTAAAATAATAAACATACGGAGTCTGCAATAATGAACATACGGTTAAAATTATTAAATTTAAGAAATAATTCTTTTATTTCATGCTCTATGCTCATTTTAACAAGGGCGGGCATTATATTTGTCAATTTCTGTACACCATAAAAAAAATAATCTATAAGAAGTTAATACACGAATTTCTAGTATGTACATTTTATTTAATGTAAATTTTGCCTTGCTGATTATTTTAGCTGTTCGAGTTTCTCTTTATATATTCTCAAGATAGACACAAAAGAATGGGAAAAAATCGGACTTTGATAGGGTAATGGCTTATATAAGGGACCAGTCATTTGTAACCCCAAAAAGAAGGATAGGAAGAAATAAAAGGGGCCTTTAATTTCATCATTTATTTAATGGAAAGGTGCATTCAATTTTATATAGTTATAGATTTGCGGTATAATGTTATGGCGATGTCTTCAAAATCCGTAGGCATCAATTTTTACGCCTGATTCCGCTCGCCTCAATTGTTAAAACCTGAATCCTTAGTTTCAACAATTTCACTAGCCGAAAATTTTTCATCTGAAGCTAATATCGAATGAAGGTGTGGTAAATATTAATGAGACCATAACCGGCAAATCCAAATAAAGTTCGTGAAGTCGCAAACAACTTCCACACTTGAAGTTCTAGATTCACTACTGACGCAATATTTTAAACTTATAATGCATTTAGAAACTTAATACTTTTTTTTTGTTATTACGAACAAAAGTATTGAAAATGTGTGTATGTGCGTTTGTGTGTAATTGTCCGGTGGTGGCTTTTTTTTTGGGGAAGAGGGGGGGGGTTGAAATTTGTAGGTCTTTGGAAAAGGGGGTATTTATTGACTGTTTTTCCTTTTTCAAGGTGTAGACTTGAAAAAAAATAAGAGAAATTCCACTGTTCCTCACACGTCCCCACCCCCAATGAAAGAAAATTACCATAATTATTATTTATTTATTTTAACATTCCGATGTATTGTTACCAAAGAGATTTCTACTTACGTAGCTTTCGTTTTTGACTGGTAACCGATTTATAAATACGGACATTATAGAGTGCAAAATAACATTCCTTATCGCTTGTTATAAGTTAATTTCTTCAATGAATACTCATAAAAATTTTTTTTTTTAGATCACAGATTAATAATATATAATTTGTACTACTACAATATAATAGTTATTACGGTGAGGTTGAATTTCCGAACATTTATTCATCATCCACGCACGAACTTGTCTCAGAAAAAAAATATATCTCTGTACATTAACATTACTTTCAGGTACAGATATGATTTTTTTTGGGACAAGTGCTTGTGACCATCCACAAGAATTTGCGGTCATCCGATGATCAGTACTTCACTACTTTGATTATATCTGTTCTTGTCTATACCAGTTTTCAAGAAAGGTTTCTCTATAGATAAGTTATCAAGATAATAGCCAATAAAACAACAAAACTCTGAAGAGCCAAAATTGCCCAAAAAGGACCTTTACTATAGAGTTTACTCAGACACATTGCACTATTTGTTTTTTTTTAAATCTATTATAGTTTCCAGGATAAACGCAAAATATTAAAAGCCGCTGCCGTAAATCTTCACTTTGAAAAATTCAAAATACAACTCTCTATCTATAAGAGAACAACAGGTCTCAGTAAACAATAAATGAATGCAGCGTTTAAGTTCATTTAGACACCAATCTGATTAGATTACAGGTATTGTGTGTTCAAGCTTTGCTTACGCCGATCTGAAAACGCTCAATTCAAGACCATAGGGCCATGATTCTCTGGTTTTGTCGGATTGATCCACACCTTCAAAAATATGAAGGCTGACATTTTATTGGCTGATGTAATATTAACCAGGACAGAAAGTAAAACGAAGTGTTGTCAGATCCTTGTAACCAAAGCTTAGACAGATGATCTGTACATTATATATTAATCATTTGTTAGACACCGACTGTAGTGTGGGTAGGGGCACGTGTATTTCCTTGATGGACTTTAATAAAAAAGAACATGGTTATTTTTTTTTAATTTCATTATTGTTTTATTTTTCCCTGATTTAAAATAGAAACAAACTATTTCGCTCCCCTTCTGAAAATTTAAAATCTCTTTCAAGAAATTTGGAATCAAACATATTCCAAAAATGTTGCCCCCCCCCCCCCCCCCTCTCACCAAAAAATGAGCGGCTTCCCACAAAACCTTTTATATTGCGGGTTACTGCATGTGGTGGTGCTTTCGTGGTAGCATGTTCGCATAGAGTGGGAGAGGTCATAGGTTCGACCCCCGGCGGGTCAAATCCAAAGACTTTCAAATTGATATTTGCTGCTTCCCTGCTAAGCCCGCGAAATTAAGGAATA